CTTTATAAGTAGGTCCCTCCATCACCACTCCTCTAGTTATAGCTTGAAAAATATGCGACGGAATCACCCAGAGTGGTAACTTAACATTAAACTTAAGAAAATATTTTTGCCAAACTCTTAACAATGCAGACCTTATTATATGATTTCTGAAAGTTTTATCAGTTTTTTTCTGCATAAAGAGGTAAGCATGCCACCCAAAGTACAAGTCCCAACCTTCGACATTCAAAATCCCTTTGTTAGACAAGTTAATCCAATCAGTCATCCACGTTAATGCACAAGAATCATAATAAAGTGTCAAATTTGGTACTTTAAGTCCTCCACGTTCTCTAGTGTCTTGGATAATCTTAAATTTAACTCTCGCCTTCTTGCCTTCCCAAATAAAGCGATTCAAATCTCTTTGCCATTCTTTCAAGTTAATTTCATTTTTTAAAATAGGTATCATCTGAAATAGGAAAAGAAACTTAGGCAGAATAGTCATTTTAATGGCCGCTATACGACCCAGCAACGAAAGCTGTAGTTTTTTCCACGATGATAAGTCCTTTTGTACCAATTTCCACAATCTTTCATAATTATTCTGGTAGAGTTTCGCGTTGGATGATGACAAAAAAATTCCCAAATATTTAACTTTATTAACCACTTCAAATCCTGACATCTGCATAAGTTGATCTTTGTCTCTTACGATCATATTCTTTGTAAGAATTTTAGTCTTATTCACATTGATTTTAAATCCAGCCACTTTACCATACTGGTGTAGCTCTTGCAACAAAAATTCCAATGATTTAATTGGTTGAGTTAATGTAAAAACTAAGTCATCAGCAAAAGCTTTAAGTTTATATTCTTTAGTAAGAATCTTTAAGCCTTTAATCATTGGTGATTCTCTAATTCTAGACAACAAAATTTCCAAAGACAAAACAAATAATAATGGAGAAAGTGGACAACCTTGTCTGGTGCCTTTTTGTATGTCTATAGGTTCTGTCAGGTCTCCATTAATAATTATTTGAGCAGATTGTTTTTGATATATCGCTTTTATGGCTGTCTTAAATTGGTTTCCAAAATTCATATAGTCCAATATTTTATTTAAAAACTGCCAGTCCAATTTGTCAAAGGCCTTCTCCGCATCTAAAAAAATAAAAGCCGATGGCATTTGATTATTCTTATCCAAATATTCCAATAAGTTCAAAATTTGTCTGATATTATTCTTCATATATCTTCCGGATATAAAACCAGTCTGATCATCATGTATATAATATTGCAATATCTGCATCAGTCTATTAGCCAAAATTTTTGCAAAAATTTTATAATCCACATTCAACAAAGAGATAGGTCTGTAATCCTTAAGTTCCAAGATGTCTTTCTCATCCTTCGGTATCAAAGATATAAAAGCTCCTGTCCACGACTGTGGTATTTGTTCTCCCAACATAATTCTATTAAATAATACTTTTAAAGGTTGAATCAGTTCAGCTAACAAAGACTTATAATAAATTGCTGTCAAACCATCCGTACCAGGAGCTTTACCAGTTTTCAGCTGTTTAATTGCATTTAAAATTTCATCTGCAGTGATCTCTTCATTCATCGATTTCTGTTGTTCTGGTGTAAGTTTATATATGGATGAAAGTTGTAAGTATTTATCAATATCCTCAATTTTCGTAGACCCAGCAGCGTATAAGTGTGAGTAGAAATCTGTAAACGCTTTCTTAATCAGGTCATGTTGATGTACCTCGCGGCCCTTAACCACAACTTTAGATATAAGTCTGGCTTTCTGTCTCTTGCGTAATTGGTAGGCCAACCATCTCCCTGGTTTATTTGCATTAGCAAATGTGTTATGTTTAATGTACTTCAAATTGGTGGCCACCTGATCAGCAATTAAAATATTAAATTGATCCTTAAGTAGTTTAATAGAAGCCTTCAAGTTAATATCTGTTGGCCGCTGGGATAATAATTTTTCTTTAATCCCAATTTCTTTTTCCAAGTTTATTCTACTCTGTATTTGCTTACGTTTATGTGCATTATTCATAGAAATTAACAAACCCCTCAAATAAGCTTTACTTGCATCCCAGACAGTATATATAGGGGTTTCCTTATGCAGGTTAAGTTGAAAAAACTCTTCCATATAGTCCTTCAAAACTTTGAGCTTCTCCTCGTGATTAAACAAGTTTTCATTTATTCTCCAGGATTTCCTTTTTTTATATTGGCCTATCTCTATCCATACCATACTGTGATCTGACAAAGTTCTAGGAAAATTTTTTGTTTTATTACAGTCAATAAGCAAATCAGTTGACAACAAAACAAAATCAATCCTTGAGAAAGACTCATGTCTATGAGAGAAGAAGGTAAAGTCACGTTCATTCATATGTTGTAATCTCCAAACATCCACCAGCTCCAAATCTTCCATCATCGCAAAAAAAGACTTAGGGAGTCTGGAAAGGGCCACATCCCTAGAAGTTGTCTTTTTATCTTTTAATGTGTCAGGTACTCCATTCCAGTCCCCCATAAAAATCAAAGAATTATAATCCAAAGCCACAATCTTCTGATGTAGTTGTCTGTAAAATAATTTTTGAGATGACAGTTGATTGGGAGCATAAACCCCCACTATTAAGCACTTTCTTCCATTTAAATTTATTTCCACAAATAAAAATCTTCCTTCTTTATCAGCTTCTTTTAAAATGGGTGAAAGATGTTTTTTTATATATAAAGCAACCCCAGCTTTTTTCTTTAAGGCAGGTGCAACAAACAAATCTCCAAGCTTGGCATTTAGCAATAATTTCTGATCTTTAGCCACAATATGAGTCTCTTGTAAGCATGTAATATCATTGTTAAAATGTCTTAAATAATGAAA